ACATGTCTGAGTAATCAATTTCCATTTTTCAAACATGTGCAGTTGTTTATATAAAAAACGGTGAGACACATGGCAAATGTAATTGCTACCAATTGGTTAGCCTCTTTTGCTTGTTTTTCAATCTTGGCTATCTACTCACGCTGCTACGAAGAGAGAATCATCACAATCCCAAAGCCTCGATGAATCATATATTTCCCAGATATCAGAATGATTAGCAGAGGCATTCTAGGAAAGCATAATGGATTCGGCAAAGATGATAATGATAAAACAAATCTATTTCGAGAATTACATTGCAAAACATTATGTGAGAAAGTTTTTCGAAGACTCGATAGTAAAGACATTCTTAGTGCCTTAGAAAGAAACTACAACAAATGACAGTGGCACCATATATATAATTTTTGAAAATATATCCTGTCGTTGGATCCCAAAAAGATTAATCTCGATCCTTCAAAAACAAAGTAATCCTAACCTCTGAATACAAAAAGTATCATTCATGTACGTTGTTCAGATCATGTGTGTTTACCACGCACACAGAAATATATGCACATCAAAAAAAGTCTGTGACGGATGCAATTATAAATGAGTCTTTTCATCTGATCACGCATTATCATTAATGCATAGATTGACCTTAAAAATTTCAGTATTATAATTAGTGATGGCAACGGGGCGGGTTCGGGGTGGGTTCGGGGCGCCCTCTCCCACCCTTTTTTTTATATATTCCGAGTTCAATAAAATACGGATAACATTCAAGTTGAACTTTTAATAAAAAATACCCTTACTTTATGTAAATTTAAGTTTTTGTTTTGGGATAAAATTATTTATAGTGTAAAATGATTTTTAGAGAATGTGTGGATAAAAAGTATGAAAAAATTATAGATCTACATGAAAATTATGTTATTAAAAAAATTGTGCTAAAAAATAAGTTTAAATAAAAACGATTTTGAAATATGTTGCATAGATGAACTCTAAATATGTTATAATAGTAATAATTAAGTATGTAAACAAATAATTAACAAACAATTAGCTAATTAGTAACAAAGTTATGATAAATTAAGGGTTGGATGAACAAATAATTAGAAATTTTCTATCTTCATATTTCCAAGTAAAAAAAAAAAAAAAATTCACGAGGCGGGCTCGGGGCGGGGCATCCGCGCATCGCGACGGGGCGACCATCCATGGGGCGGGTTTTTTGCCCCATTCGGGGTGGGTCGACGCCGTGGCGAGGTGGGATAAATTGTCATCACTAATTATAATCATTACCTCGAGTTCACAAGTTCGCTAATTAAAATCAATAGTTAAACTCGAATTTTGAGGACTATTTATTAATTATTCAATCTCGATTTCGCTAAGAGTCTGTTCACTCGTAAACCAAGCCAAGTGTATATTAAAACAAATTTTCGGGCTCGCTTATTACAATGAATTATTAAAATCATATTATCGAAATTCAATTCAAATCAAAAACATTTTTAGGTTCGCTTAACAAAAAGCCTAAACAAAGTCTTGAACCTAACATAAATGATTAGAATCGAACTTCAAGTACTATTTGTTATCAATTAAAATTTACAAAGGATCATGTTCTAATTCTGCCAGCAAACATTCTTAAAGTCAACCAAAATCACGTGAGCTCAATAAGATTAACGAGCAATTGAAAGAAGCCTCACAGTTCATAAACAACGAGCAAATATACGTTAGTCAATTTCATTAACTATTTCACATCAGCAGAAATCATTATCAAAGCACACGTAAATAAAAATGTAAAGCATGACTTGAGCACCAATAAATTAAAAACAAGTGGACTTGTGAATAAAACGATAAAAGCTAATAGATGCAGTTAAAGTTTCACTAATCAATGACTGGAAGGAGTCATTGACAACTTAGTACTTATTTGACTCCCTTTAAAAAACAAAAAAATAAAAATAAAAAATTATTTCTCACTCATTTTCAATATCATACAATAAAATATTTTACACGTAAATTCAAATTTTTTTTTTTATTTTTTAACAACACATCCTCCAAAAAATCACTATTTAAAATATCATTTTAACACAATAATGGCCATCAAACAAGGGCTTAATTACCCTGTGATCTTACTAGAAATCTATAAATAAGCAAAATTGAGAACAAAGAAGGCATACAAATCTAAATATCCTTATTTCAAATAGTCATCCATCTTGTTGCTCTTGATCAAACATAAAATCAATGAATATAAGGACAAAAATCCCGACTAAATGAAAGAAATTTGTTGATCTCATCTTTGACGTCAACAGTGCATTTTATGCCCTCTCATCATCCATACCACGAGTTCGAACCGACGACATCAAAAAACACAATTTCTATCGATTTAATTTCCATCATGGATGGCAAGTTGGCGGCTTTCTTTCACGATTGGAAGCTTTTTCGATGGAGGGGTGAAAGTTAAGGCAGATGATAATGACAAAATGAAGGAAGAAAAATACGTCCTTTGTTTTAGTAATTTGTCAAGGTAACACCAAAATCAAATTTCATTGCTTTGAATAAGTCATAGTAAGTAGCTCTTTCCCAACATGAAACAGCAAATTTTCATAGCAAACCGCCATTACGAAACCATTTTTATTTTAACATCAAGAGAGAACCGTTTAATGTGTCTTATTTACCATCCTTTGTAAAGGCTTCTGTAATCACGAGATAATGCTCCCCAAGACAAAATGACAAACCGAATACATAAAACTGCTATGAGATTAGACAGTTATACTGTAAGAAGACTATCCACTTTTTTTTTTTTTGCCAAATCTTGTTAAGCAGCAACAAAATGCTTGAAAAGGCTTTGAGGAATCACTGCCTCAAGCTTTCAACAATGTAGGAAGCATACAGATCCCTGCAATTATAAGCATGCAATAGAAATAAATCACTGTAGATATTGTACACAGATCTTTCCATATGAATAAAGAAAAGCAAAAATAGTCGATTTTCTGTATAAGTAGAAGACTTTCAGATGACTCACATGGAGTACTTGATAGCATCAATTCCTGCTTCAGCAGGCAGAAAGTCATCTACTGCAACTGCCTTGTTCTCATTCTTCTTGTCTGTTTAATAGAAGTAAAGGATGTAGAACACGAATATGCAGGAGAGTGAAGTACACAAATGAATGTGCAGAAGTTAAAACAAGAACATGAAACAATGAGCACTAATGTATAATGGATACAATCCTCGAAAAAGCGGCGAATTTCAGCAAGGCGGTGTGGCGGAAGTTCCTTTATGTCTGTATAATGGCGAAACTCAGGGTCATCAGCACATACAGCAATTATTTTGTCATCCTTTTCACCCTGTAGCCCAATTCACTTGAATTATTTTTCAAACCAAATGAAAGCAGTTCCAAATTTACATGGAAAAACAATCTAACTACCAACTTTAAGACTACTACAGATTTCTAAGATTATAGATGCACTGAAAAAGTCAACAGTATGCTGATTATTTCTCTTTGAAGGGTATGGTTATAAATAAAAAAGTCACACTTCCAAGTATAGTTGATCAATATTATCACAAAATTAAAGTAGGTTGAGCTATCCAATAGTTAAAACCAAAATAAGAGTCAATTTCTCGAACCTGTCTTTAAAAGTAGTCAAGTAGTATGAAAACTTGAGCATGCTTCACTAAGAGGCATTAAGAACTCTGAATTGCACAAAGAAAGAAATTTACCTGATCTATCATGGGCATCAATCCAATTGCACGTGCACGGAGGTAAGTACCAGGTAGTACAGGTTCCTGTTCAAGAATGAATCCATTTTGAGTACTATTATTTAGATTTTTGTCAGAATGGGAATTACCCGAATAACGTCTATAAATGCACACTTAGTAAATGTGAAAGAAACCTGCATCAGGACCAAAACATCAATGGGATCGCCGTCTTCACAAATGGTGCGTGGTATAAAACCATAGTTGTGTGGATAGACTACTGATGAGTAGAGAACTCTATCAACCTAAGTAAATGTTAAAAAAAATAATAATAATAATAAAATAAAAAATAAAAATAAAGAGACGCCATCAGTTACTTCATCGACTCCCCATAACAAAGTGCACAAAAACCAAAACACAAGTCCCAGAAAAAAGTTCCTTACGAGGAAAATCATGCAATGCAAGCTACAACAGTGAAAACTTAGATAAGGATGAAATGATTTTAGGTACAAATACAGCAATGCAAAGAAATTCTATTGAAATGACCAAAGAGCCTAGAGACAGGGAGAAGTTCATGCATAAAGTAAAACCTGAAGGAAATTGGCAAATTTAGAACTGTGTTCATATAAATAAGAGCATATGGAAATTTTCATCACCTAGTATCGTGATAAGATGAACACTGCACAGAAGCAGGCGTGAAATACTAAGATAAAAGGATATCAATATATACATTGACAAAAAGAATAAACATTTCATTCCAAAAGAAGCATAAATGGAGATGAAAATTAAGAACTTTGAAGTCTCTGATGAGATAAAGATCTTCAAGTCTCATAAGATATGCATATTGAGTATAAACATAGAAGTATATCTTGAAATATAGATGGTGGATTAGCCTTTTACAACTGGTGAACAAAAACAAATTTAGTTCCTGTCCATTTTGCTAAAACTGAGGACCAGGCATTTAAAGTACAGATATTTCTTAAGGATTAAGTAATTTCATAATTCATGGCACATAGATGAAATAATTGCTCACTTTGATAAGGCCAGTGGTTTTGTCAAGCTCATATTTCACTTTGCTGCCTTTTCCAATTTCAATCACCTGCCATGTAACTCTGAATCAATATATGAAATTACAAACTAACTGGTTTATTTGCTTCATCACAGTAAAGTTTTGATATGTTAAAAAGAAAATTTGACCAACACTCAGGTAAGATAAATATATCCAGGTGACAGAATACAAGAAAATACAGATTTCCAACCGCAAAAACGTAAGCTTTTCACATTAAACTTCCTCACATGAAAGTGAATAATTATAGAGCACGTTTGATTCCCCCCTTTTCTTTGTCAAAAATACATTTTGGAACAGTATTTTGACAGAGAATGTGTAGTTAAAAAATAAGAATTTTTTTTGGGTTTGCGTGCAATATAATTTTATTGAAAAATGCTTGGTTAAAAATAAGAGAGATAAAAGTGTATTTTGAAAATAATGGAAACCAAACAAGGGCATAGTAAACATAGATGGCATGGTTTGCTCGAGTCTTGCACTATACATGACAACAAAAGAATAATGTGTGCTACCTATATCACTCTGGCTCACGTATAGTAATGTGTATTTGATGAACCAAAAATGATTTCGCTATGCGTAAAAGTTTCGAGCATGTATATAAACAGAGGAACCACTCACACAGTTGAAAATTGCTGGAGCTCCTGGCCCTGCACAAATATCACATCAAAGTTAATGGTAAAACGGATAACATCATAACCATGAGGTTAAGGGAAAAAACCTACAAAATTTAAGCCATCAAACAGACTGATCTACCTAGAGTCAATACCACTTAGTCGAAGATCAAGGTGGTTAATATACGTAAACTAGATAGATGGTTGATGCTCATTTTATACCATTTGCAAAAATATGACCAGCATTCAAGATCTAGAAACTCTACCAATTTCCAGATCATGCCATGGATGAGCAGCAACAGATCTTCGTGACATGGAAGAGAGAATTCTTTCATTGAGCACAACATGAGAGTTTCCCGAACTTCTTATACTTTGTTGTCCACCATTGTCAGCCATATTGCACTACCTGCCCAAAAGAGAGAGATTTGCCAAATTTACTTAACCACTAGCAGTACCCAAGCTACTTTGAGGCCAGCCCATGCCCCTCCACCAAATAAAAATTTATAATTTATTACAAGCGGAATAGTTTTGAGAAATTGTTCATGTAATGGACCAATCATTATGGGAAAAAACCACGGATATACTAAGCTTTTGGTAACAAATTTTTAATTGACAAAGTGTTGGACACAAGAAATTAGTATTAACTATTTCTCAAATTTGATTTGTGGTTCACCACTTGAAAAAGATGAACTTGTAGAAATCAAAATTCTTCACAGATTTATAGTGACGAATGACTGGATGCAAGATGGACAATGGTTTCCTAACAAATGTTATGATACCCTACACCGTAAGAAAACCTTTTGAAGGGATTAGTGTATAATCTATCATAGGTGAATCTGCAACACAATGAGACAAATGGACAGAGTGATAAAGCGCATTGAGAACGACAATATAACATGACCATTTTTTTCAGCATAATGTTTTTGTTTGTTGATCATCAATGTAAATGCCTATAGTTGTAAAACGTGTTATATGTCTATTTACAGTTCAAATCCACAACAGAGAGACTTGTTCAACTTTATGTAGTCAAACAGTTTTCGATGAACCATTTCTCTTTGATTAAAATAATTTTTAAGAAAAAGTGAGGAAATTACCAACAGATACTAGGATGAAGAAACTGTTACCGAAAAACGGGGTAAAACAATAGACATGACTTCAAAAGTTTATAACAAGCATTACATATTTAAGATCAAACTTTCCTTCAACTAGCCCCTTATTCAACTGAGTAGACTAGCCACGTGGTGATAGAAACATGGTTAGACAATCAATCATTCAATACAAATTAAAAACTTTCTATTCATGGATTATCAAGACTGGTTTAGAAAACTAGTCTACTTTGCCACAGCATTTTCCAGTGTGGAAAATGAGATTCAATTTCTTATTTTGAGGTAATACAAATTTCATCAATTAATCAATTTAGGCATACTATCCAAGATTTAACTACAATCAACCATATAGCCATCCAATGTTTTCGGATTCAAAAAAACACCCAACAATTCTACTTTGTAAGTGGAAAAAAGAAAACCCACATTAAAAAAAAAAAGAAAAATTATTTACAGGTAATTATTCCATCAACACTGTTAAATCCAAAATAACAATCCATTTGAACGATTAAAAAATTAGAAAAAAATAATTCATTGGATTGCCATAATCCCATTCATCAAGAGCAAAAATTAAAAAAAGAACATGCTTCACCACTTCGATTAAAAAAATCTAAAAACATTTACGGTTCGAAAACAAAATGGGTATCAGTAAAGTTACTTTACCAAACAAACATCTACAGTTACTAAAAAAGATGTACAAATGCTCACTCAGGAAAACAGATAAAGAAAAAAGGGGGGGAAAAAAAAAAAAAAAAGAATACCTTGATACTGAGATCAGTTAAGCGTTACTTACAGTCAGAAGGGGAGAGAGAAGTGGAAATACGAAGCTTTACGGTTGGCCTTGTGATATAGGTGATGAAAAGATTGCGTGTGAGGAAAGTTGTGCGGGTAAAAGTTCTTGTAATAAGATAGTGGGAAATTGCACTATAGGTCCTCCAGCCCTGATCTTTAAAATATAGCATGTTGGTTTTCAATATTAAATTATACTTTCACCATTCATCTTTAATAAATCAATTTTGAAACATGTCTAGATTGTGCTCAAATGGTCAGTCATGTATTTAACTTTATGAAGTTATGTTTGATTTTACAACTTGAAACGAATACTTGAAAATTCGAAATTAAACATGTTTTTACGAGAACCACATGCCAATTTAACAATGATTTGAACGATTTTCACAAATTTGAACTCATAAACGTTTGTTCTTTTTATTACTCACAAACAATGGTACTTTGCCTTGCTATAGATATTTGTCTGAAATATCGATCACTAGACTATCAAACTAGTAAGGACATTATCAAGAGACATACTAAAAATCATGCATTTGGAGTAAAAAACAATGCCCATCTTCCAAATCAAAAGAAAAGGGACTCAAATAGCAACTAAGACTAGCTGAGGTGGAAGTGAAAGAGGCACATGAACACTACAATTTCAATTGAGAACTTATCGTGCACTATAAAAAAATGTTGGACCTATGGTGTAATTTTTGGTTAAAGATAAGGATCAATTTGCTAATGAAAAATTAAGTTAAGGACCAATAGTGTATTGTTTCCGAGATATTCCTTTTTTTATTCTCTAGCTTTCCATTTGGGCACACGCTTTTCGTGCAATTTGGTCTACCGTCAATTCAAGGTCAATCTGGGTGGTAGGATTTTTTTATTCCTTTTAATCGACGGTTTATAGCTTTAGGCGTCAGCGATTGATCTTTACACAAAAGGGAATAAACTTTATTTTAACACAAACTTTATTATATGGAATATACCTTTTGAATCGTATTGAATTTGATTTACTTTTTCTAAATAAATATATTCCATTTTTGAGGCAAATAATTTTTAATTATCTTAGTACCAACTTTTGGGGTTATTTGACAGCTCATAATAAAAATTTTAATATATTTTGATGAAAATTGATTAAATATGAGATTGAAAGTACAAAAAAATAAAATTAAAAAATTAGGAATCTCAATAAATGTATGATTAAATTCGAAATCTGATCAATGGAAAAAGTTGATAAAATTCTGAGTAAGTTTTATCAAAATATGAAAACAATACCATAAATGACTTAATCAACCCAATCTGATCATTAAATCGATTAAGCGCCTTTTAAAGACATTTAAATTACTAGTAAGCACATGCATCGTATGTCTTATCATTTATGTATGGGATGAATGGTATGTTTAATATTTTTGATAGATTAATAATGTTTTTGAAAGTAGTTGGGATAATTGATATCATTAAAGAAAAATTAAAATTTTAAAAAAGAGTATTATGAATAAACTTTTTAATGAAATTATGTGTATAATTTAAAAGTATTGAATAAACTTTTAAATGTAATGTTTTGATTACAATAACACTTCTTTGTAAACAATATCTTTATCTTAACATTCCACTTCTTTTCTTCTTTTTTACTTTCTACCTTTATCAAGACGTTTGTTTTTTGTATTGAAACTCTGCGAGAAAGTGCAACACATTGTTGCTTATGAGAGAAAACATGTTTGGGAAGGTATAATCCAACAATAGGCAATGTTTGTCCTTGAGCCTTGTTAATGATCATTGTAAAGTATAGACGTATAAAAAATTGTTATCTTTTGAATTTGTAAGATATCATTCGTTATTTGCTTGGGTTAATGGGATGCGTGAAAAAAAGAAAGGAAGAAACCGAAATGAACCGATTTCATATACCTCTCTTTGCAACAAACATAAATTACAAAAACGAAAAAAAAAAAGAAAAAAGGAAGCAATTATTAGACTTTGTAAATGTCAATGTGATCATCAAAGATTACGACTATATTATTTATATAATTGTACCAAACATAGATAGATTTCTTTTACCATATTTAGTTATGATTTTTTTAGTTATATATAATAGGAGAACCCTTATATTGAGGGGTATTGAATATTTGACATGGTATCAAAGAAGGTTAAATTTTTTTATTTTTTATTTTGGGTTAAACTTGCAAGCTTAATTCTTCAGTGAGTGGCCTTGTGCCGCTCGTCCGATCAAAATTTAATGTTTTGAATAAAACTTCTTCAACTAATCCCTGCTTCTCCTTTTTAAGATATAATATTTCCTCATCTCCATATTGGTACAATATCTTCTGCTTCTTTGTAACAAAATCAAAAGAATCAACAATGCCTTCATAAAACATGCGATCTTTTGGCCACCAAACTTTAGCTTTTGAACCAACCAAATTCTCACCATACTCTATAGTCCCAAATGCTTTTGTCAGTGCTTCAAGTACCCTTTCTCTTGATACTCATTCTTTGGGGATTCTTCCTAGATGTCTTCATCTTTAATTGATTTTCTAGGAGAACTCAAGGAAGGAACCATGTGCCTGGCATCATCTTTTGCAAAAGATTTCAATACGTCTTTCTCTACTCCAACTTTTACACGGGGCAGGTGGGTTAACCAAATTTGGTGGGATGAGAGAGGCCAAACTAGTAGATAATTCATCTATCAGCATTTTTTGCTATTCTTTATCTTTATTTTTTACCGTCGGTGACTTCTGCAGCTATGGTAACTCTTGAAAATTATTCTTGGCTGACCACAATTGCTTCTTGTGTGGTCATCTGCAACTCTGCTAATTTTACTAACAACTTCTGACTTCTCTTTTTGGTGTTGAAACTCCGTATTTCTGCTAGTTTTCTCGGCAGTTTTTGGATTCTTCTTTCGATGGTGGAATTGCAATAGTAAATTGTGACGGTTGTATTAGGTTTGCTTTTCAGGAATATATCTAGATTTAAGATATAGGAAAAAATCATATATGTCTTACTAATATATAGTATTTACGTTTATACTATTAAATATATTTAGAAACCAAAAATTACTACTTAAAGTTATAATAAAACCAAAAATACAGTGTATGGAACTTTCCTTTTGGAATCTGTAACTGACATTATCAATCACAGAGAGTGCGGTGGCATTAATTGGAAATGCTGGACTTTTGGGAATTTGAATTCATAATGATTTTTAGTTGGTACGTTACAATTGTAATTTCGATTTGGGAAAATAGATTATCAGCAACCGTGTGAAGCTTGTTATAGGAACTTCACGGTGTCGAGAGATTTCGTTTGGTTTTCTATTTAGATCATTTCCATGATTTTGTAAAATTGAATGCAGGTATTAGCTTCTACACCTCTATTATAAAATAAAATATTGTTATGATGTGTAGTTTGGATGTTGCAATTTCCGTCTGTGAACCTCGTTATTCATTTGATATCGATGGTTATGATTTGTGTTGTCTTATGCATCGAAATTTGAAGATTTGTTGTATATTCCAGTCAATGCAACATATAAATGTGCAATAATGCTACATGGCCACATTTCTTGACACATTGAGCTGGAAATTGGCTGTAAAAAAAAAATGAAAAATGAAAGGAAACAATTACAAAATGGCGTCCAAAACACAAACCCAATACTTTGAATTTTTTTTACCCACCTGGTTCGACCCGGCCCATTTTCAAACCCGACCCAAGTCCCTGTTTTAAAACCCTTCAGCCCATTCCCACATCCTCATTTTCACGTCGGAAGTTGCCGCGCAAAATCACATCAGATGGAGATCATTTTGGCACGATTTCAGAGGTCAACCGACTGCAATGGCGCCATCTTGCTACAAAGATCCAACTGCGTCTCTTTTCTTCTGTACATGACGCATGAGAAATACCTATTTTTGACCCAAGTACAGTGGCTAGAAGCTATTACAGTGGCCGGTGGAGAAACCTCATTTCGTCGTTGTTCAGGTATTTGATTAATATTTAATGGTAATAAATAAGACCGTGACCCATATTTGCGGTTGCAGATTAATTTCCTTCTCAGCTCACTATAGGAATTTTTGAAATCCGAATTTCTTACTTTTTAATTGTGTTGTGTGCATGTGCTGAATTGGGTGAAGAAGGTTGGCATTGGGAAAATACTCCAGAGGTGGACGAACAGAACCTAACAATTTCTAGCCGAGAGATGACCGAAAAAGGTATTGGTTCAAATTGCCATTCGGAATTAGGGGATTTGTTATGTGATTTTCTCTGTATCTTTACAATTTGTTATGAGATGATGTGATTTTTTTAGAACCAATTTCTGTAGGATGTGCTAAAAAATTGCTTGACTTGGTAGAATGCACAATCATCATATTACACACGCAGTGAATTTCCATAGTAATTGATCAAACGATTATTTGCATTGTCGTCCAACGTGGTGATCTGAGTAGTTTCTATTTGAATTATAGTTACATAATTTCGTTGACATGTTAATTAATTTGTTTGATGAAGGGAAAGAAATTTGGGAACATGTGGATGAAATTATACCAGTGGAGTCCGAAAATGAGGATGTTTTGGATATTATGAACGTAGCGGGTGATGATACGTTAGTTGGAGATGGTGTGATTGTGCCGGAGCCGGGTATAAAATTTAAAGATGAAAATGAAATATTCGATTTGTACAAAAAATATGCATACGAAATTGGTTTCCCGGTTAGGAAAAGAAATTCGGTAAAGGATGAGGACGGAGTATTGCGAAATATTATATTTGTTTGTAGCCGTGAAAGGAAAAGAATACAAAATAAAAGCGGTAGTTTGAAACCGCAAGCAACCATGCAGAGTGGATATAAAGCCAGGATTTGCACATCCAAAGATCTTTGTGGAATATGGAGGATTAACAAGGTACATCTAGACCATAATCATAAGACAAGCCCTTCGAAGTCTAGGCTATATCGATACAACCGAGAGTTGAGTGCACATGTTAAACGAAGACTTAAAGTGAATGACATGGCAGGAATTCCATTACAAAAGAGTTTCAACTCTGCAGTTGTTGAAGTGGGTGGGTATGAGAATTTGAGTTGCATCAAGAAGGACTGTCGTAACTATGTTGAAAAAGTTAGGTGTTTAAGACTTGGAAAAGGGGATGCATCAGCACTACAATCATACTTCTGTAAAATGCAGGCACAGTGTTCGGGCTTTTACTTTAGTATAGATCTGGATGACGATTTACGTCTAAAGAATGTTTTTTGGACAGACTATAGGAGTAGGCAAGCATTTAAGGAGTTTGGTGATGTTATCACATTTGACACCACATACCTCACTAATAAGTACGATATGTCATTTGCTCCTTTTGTTGGAGTGAACCACCATGGACAGTCGACACTTCTTGGATGTGGTCTAGTATCGAATGAGGATACGGAGACATTTGTTTGGCTCTTTCGAACCTGGCTGCAATCTATGCATGGACAAGCTCCGCATGGGATAGTTACGGATCAGGATAGGGCTATGCAAAATGCAATACAGATTGTGTTTCCTAATACAAAGAATAGATGGTGTTTGTGGCACATATTGAAGAAGTTGCCTGAGAAATTTGGATATCATGTGGATAAAGGGTCTATATTCAGTACTATACACAATTTGGTCTACGATTGTCAGTTTGTAGAAGAATTCGAAAACGGCTGGAGAGTGATGGTGGAAAGATTTCACTTGTATGATAATGAGTGGTTGGCGGGTTTGTACGAGAACAGAGAACGTTGGGTACCTTGCTATCTAAAAATCACATTTTGGGCAGGGATGTCAACTACTCAACGCAGTGAGAGTATGCATGCATTCTTCGACGGTTATATACATTCGAAGACGACATTAAAGCAATTTGTTGAACAATATGAACAAGCATTGAGAAATAAGGTTGAGAAGGAGTTTCAAGCAGACTTCAAGTCCTTCTCGCAAATGGAACCGTGTGCATCAAGATATGAAATTGAGAAGCAATTTCAAGCAGTTTACACAATTTCAAAATTTAAGGAAGTTCAAGAGGAGTTCACAGGTAAAATGTACTGCAACCTTGTTTCTGTCTCCGAGGGATTATCGGGGGCAACGTACGAGGTACGGGAGGATGTAATACATGATGAGCATTCGAAGAAAAAAAGCTTTTTCGTCTCAGTTGAAAGAGACAAATGTGAAATCACTTGTAGTTGCCACAATTTCGAGTTTCGAGGGATTATTTGCAGACATATGATCGTAGTACTGGCCCGTAATGATGTGAAATCTATACCTGAAAGATATATACTACGGAGATTGCGACGAGATGTCAGTAGGGCCCACACAAGGGTACCAGTGAACTATGATGGTTTGATTAGTACGCCAGGGCAATTAAAGTACGACAAGATGTGTCAACGCTTTGCGACATTGGCAGATTTGACAGCAGAAGATGACGCGAAATCTGATGCAATAATTGATTAGATTGACAGTCAATGTGAAGAGTTGATGTCAACAAATCCTGGTAATAGTAACATCCTCTCCCCACAGATGACACAGACATCATTCCATTGTGAAGCGCCACTGGATACTGCAAGTGGTGACATAAGGGATCCAAAATGTGTGAAAAGAAAAGGTGCCCCAAAGAAACTTCGGAAGAAGAGCCCATTAGAAACCATGTCGAGAAAATTCAAGGTAATAATGAAATGATGCCTATTTTCATTTGTTGCTAACTCAAAATAGAGATAATGTCTAACAACATTCCTTGTTTTGCAGGCAAGTACGGGTTCTAGTAAAGGGAAGAAAAAAAAGGTTTCTAGCAGTGATATGGGAATGGTTGTAGCGCCCATCCTCCAGTCACCTCATCAACAACACATGCCGCTACCCTTCTCCTATACAAACCTTCTTTTGGTTAGCATTTGTAATGATTTGATTTCAATGATAACGTACTATTTACTGATAATGCTATTTCATGCAGGGTGGGAACCAAAATCTTCAATTCACGCAACACTTGCAATCGACGTGTCTAAACCCTCCATCGGCAACTACTCTTACAATAAACATGCAAGGTGCATAAGATCTTATGTAGAACTACTCTTACAGTAAACTTTGTTCATTATGTATATTTGTAGGCATCTAATGAACTACCTTATATGGATTTGAAATTTGTAGGTTTGGGAATGCATTTTGATGGAGGAAACACGGATTCTCCTACGGAAATTGGACCATCTATCACATTATCAAACCCAAAAGATGCACCCGGTGGTCATTTTGTGTAGTTTATTGGTTGCTTTCCAATAGTTTGTAATTTTCTCGTCATTGTGTACTTGCATGGGTTTGTATGAATCATGAATAAATCTAATGTATTCAAATGGTCCTCTTCGACGTTAAACCATTAAGTAGTGTTGAAGGGTTAATGATTCCATGAATCTTGATAGAAAGTGTAATGATTCCATGTAATGTTTTAAGATGTTCCTCTTGGATGTTCCTTTTCAATAGTGTAATGATTCCATGGTCTTTGCCTTGCCTTGCCTTTTAGAGCATGTTTGATAGGTCACGTTGATGAAGGAAAAGATGGTAAATTTATGTCCAATAGTGTGAGCAAAACAAATCAATGTAAACTTGGCAGGTTCAATAAAGTTGTGTTTGTATTATTGTAAGAAGTTTGGTGGTATGTAACTAACTCAATATACTATTGTGGAAATCTGCAGAGAAGATAATGAAATACAGTTAATATAACTGTTGTAAAAGAAATTGAGTGCTGAAAAGTTTAATAAATCTTGTGCTGACAACCCAATTTTAATAGATTTAATAGGTAAAAAATGTTTAATTTGCATTTCATAACTATAATTTACATATTTTGATTTCGAGTTTCTATAAGAGCTGAAGAAAATGATAAAATATCGACATCAATTATGTGCAATGTCCGGTCAGTTCCCCCATCTCTAATGCCTGAAGAATTGCTTGATTTGGCAGTGAAATGTACGAACTGATTCAATGGATAAACCTGTTTCGAAAACTTTGCAGAATTCCAGATAATTATGCCATGAACGATAATGGAAATAAACACAAATAATACTGTGAAATCAATGCCAAACTTTCGGCTCCATACTTCCTAATTAAACATAGTTCATACATGATAATAGATTCAAGTGAACAATTACATTACATTATAGCCTAGTCAATTACATTACAGCCTAGTTAATTTAATTTACATAATTGGAGTTGCAAGTTTTTTTGAAATGAAAACACTTTAGCTCAGGCCGAGGACTGTCCATTCTTCTCCCATTTGGTGACGTGCTCTCTTCTTTTGCTTATATTCACGTTCATAGCAATCTCCATGTCTTCATCACCAGTTAACTGACATCGTGTTTCGAACATGCAAGACAAATCCCGAATGTTGGTGACTGAACTCGATTCAGCACCCGTTTCAGTCTTTTTCACCCACTCCCAATAACCACATTTCAAGCTGCAAGTTTCAAATAGTTTGCCTTTGTTCTCAGTGTTCTTCTTGTTGGGAATTGATTTAAACATGCACAGCGGAATTTAACAGATTTCAATTCCCATTCAGGATTCAGCTTTGTATTTAGATAAAAACTGTGATGAGAAATATACCTTTTGTGTGATTTGCAAACTCTTTCGCGTTATTCCTTTCCAGCAGCTTGAATCTGCCTCCCACAGCTGTCCAATTGTGCAGCCTCCAATGAAATCCACACAGAGAGAAAACAGCAACTGCTAGGGTTTCTTTCTTGTGCTAGCAAGAATAATGAATGACTTAATGGACCTCAAACCCTAGCTGCATATATATATAAACCCAAACGGACCCGGCCCGGTCCGGTCCAATATTTAATTAATCCAATTAATCAAACCCGGTCCGTGAATTAATTAATCCAATTAATTAATTCGGGATTATAAATAAGAAATTCAATTAATTGATTTATCCAACGATTGTTAAATTAATCAATTAACAATTTGCAGTCTTCCAATTCTCTTTTGTGTGCGACCCATTAGGTTCCCGACCACGATGCCTAACGTCGTGAAATATTATTTTGATCTAATCAAAATCGATAAATTAATACACCCTTTTAATTTATCGTCAACTCACATCCGCCGTCCCTGATTGACATCTAGCAATGTGTCAGGACAATACATGTGACGGGAAATGTCACGTGGTATGACAAAACCAAAATCGTTCGTTTATCATGGAATTATTATCCCTTCGTCAATACGATCCGATCAATTACGAGATATGGAATTGTGTCAATCTCGATCATCGATCATATCTTTCATTCCACTATTAAGTCAATATAAATCGAAAACTCCTTTTCGACTTATGAGTACACCTTGGCCAAGGATTTCATCATCGACTTAATTGAATGAAACGCAGATCATAATCTCCTAATATCTAAGAGTGACGAATCCTTTATTGATCAATCACAACCTTCACACGATTCTTGACGTACCCGAACGATGTCGTATTAGCGGCCCTTTTCAGAGCAACATCCAACACCGCCAAAGTATGACTGTCCTCATATAGGGTACTATGACGACCTCAAGTCAAAGGATCAATCCCACTACCGAACGTTAGAGATTAGCCACTGACACTCAAATAGTTATCCATGTGGAATCTCTTAGCGGGTCTCCAATGTTTTGTTCTACAACAAAACATCCACATGTTCATTTAAGTGTCACCACACTTTAGCTCGTGAGATCAGCTACTTACTTCACAAGTAAGAAATGCCACACGTGATGGTCTAACTGTATTAACGATATCCGTATCTCGTTATTACTTACGACCATGGTTTATTCAAGATCCAATTATATGTAATTTGTATCTCACAATCACAACTCCTTGTGATTAACAGATTACCTAAAAATTGGGTCTTCGGATTCTATTATTTAATATTATTTATCACAAAATCAATTTAAATAAATAATAGATCTCGCCAAAATCAAATGCATTAAATATATTAAAAGCGTTTACAACCTAAATCGATTGGATCTAGGGCATAACACTTACATCCCCTGCACTACCCACATCCACACACATTACAGATTACCCATCATTTGTACATCTTAACCACTTTTTAGTTAAACCAAGCAGAGGCGAAGACAGTGAACCAACGACATATAGGAGGAAGGTAAAAGGAGGTCGGCCAGTTATTAAAAGATAACTAATTTCTGTGATGCACTTCACAATAGTTCTTCTGTTTTGCAGGTTCATGCCTGAGTGTGCTGGGCATGTGCAAACCGATGCCCATTTAGTAGGAGCAGGAACAAATAAAAGAAATGAGGAATTATAACAACACATATATGGACTTGGAATCAAAGCCTATTCCACTTCCTTTGTGAAATGAAAAAACATCAGTCAGACAATGTATACAATCATAATGAGACAGCAATCATAATGACACAAAAACCAGATGTCTGTGCAAGAAACACCATCAAAAACCATAACTAGCAACACATTTAAACACATTATATTCCAGAACTAAAGGTTCATGCTGCCTTCAAAAAAATTTCTGAACTGTTCAACGTCCTGAAGTCTGTCCAAATCTCCTAGCATCTGCCCTTGCTGCTCTTGAGCTCGAGGCCTCATAGGCACTTGTTGGTGTGAAGTCATCCTCCATTTCTTCAAGATGGATTTGCTCAGTCACCTCTTGCACGTCAAACGATTGTCCAGCATCATTATCCTCAACCATATGCACGGAAGCTGCTGGCCATTACTCATACCAACACCAAGGGTGGGCATGAACTAAAAAATTTGTCGTTCTTGGAGTCATTGAAATCTGGGTCATCCTCCGTATCTGTCACAAAAACAGAAAATTAAGGCCTGATAAAATTGCAGCATCAATCTTACAATCAATAATTTTGAGTGAAAATGGTGCTTTCTGTGCAGATATAAGTTATAACGAAATCCACAGGGTCAATAAATCACAGGTTCAGCCACTTGTGAATAAACTTGCTGGGAAAAATGAACTTCCGATGAACAGGAATAAACCACCATCGAAGAACAGTAAATAAAACACATGTTCGGCTTCTTTGAAACCAACCCTACCAGTCAATAAACCACAGTAAGTAAACCTGACGTATGAACATCTCCCTCTCACACATCAGTATTTTAACCACACTTTGAGTGACGAATCCTTTATTGATCAATCACAACTTTCATACGATTCTTGCGTACCCGAACGATGTCGTATTAGCGGCCCTTTTCAGAGCAACATCCAACACCGCCAAAGTATGACTGTCCTCATATAGGGTACTATGACGACCTCAAGTCAAAGGATTAATCCCACTACCGAACGTTAGAGATTAGCCACTGACACTCAGATAGTTATCCATGTGGAATCTCTTAGCGGGTCTCCAATGTTTTGTTCTACAACAAAACATCCACATGTTCATTTAAGTGTCACCACACTTTAGCTCGTGAGATCAGCTACTTACTTCACAAGTAAGAAATGTCACACGTGATGGTCTAACTGTATTAACGATATCCGTATCTCGTTATTACTTACGACCATGGTTTATTCAAGATCCAATTATATGTAATTTGTATCTCACAATCACAACTCCTTGTGATTAACAGATTACCTAAAAATTGGGTCTTCGGATTCTATTATTTAATATTATTTATCACAAAATCAATTTAAATAAATAATAGATCTCGCCAAAATCAAATGCATTAAATATATTAAAAGCGTTTACAACCTAAATCGATTGGATCTAGGGCATAACACTTACACTTCTCCACCTCGAAGCACTTAAAAAATGCATGTTTACACCATGGGCAAGGTCGTTTATTCGAGCATTCTGCGAAAAAATGTCCCTTCAATCTACAACTATGGCATATCCCATTATTCTTCCCTCTCATTTTAACCTGGGAAGCAAACACCAACCAAAATGATAATCACATACTCCCTCAGTCAAAACATGAAATGAATTAACATGACCATATCAAATAATCTCTCTCTGTCTGCAGGAAATACACCCATTACATTTCATAATTCCCACAATTTGTCACTATATTAACAACTTAACAGAGGCACTAGTGGAGGATAAGTTAACAGAGACTAGGAAAAACAATTTCGTCTATGGGGGGAGGGGCGGAGTACTGCAAGTTTCCGTCTTTCCTACTCCCAACATAATCTCCATTTTATTTATTCCACAAATGATGCAAAATATATTCTCACAAAGTTCAGTCCCCAAGCGAACAGGTAAAAATTGGGAAATCATATAACAAATTACTTAACAGAAATTCACATATCTGCTAAAGAGAAAATCACATCGATGCAGAGACATTGACATTTTACAACAAAACCCTAAACGAAATAGACGCAAGATGAAAGGATATGCCACAAATGCTCTGAAATCTAGGGTTAGGAATGGGCCACTGCTTCAGTGTTTTAGACAAAATTATACAAATCAAAGCGAACTGAAGGTTACTTCGACAAACGTATTGAAACATGAACTTCATAATTTATATGCCCGAGCTTTCTCTAGATGTGGTCAAACACAAATTTGCAATAGCAAGTACGAATCAACGAGAAGTGGCTGACCGTAACACTGAGCATGTCGAAAACATGGAAACCTTCAATGCCGATGGCGTTTCACCGAATCTCTCTGGTAATGGGTATCAATCGAGCAACCGGTGAAATTGCGAAGAGCAAATCTCCGTCTGATGTGATTTTGTGCGGCAGCTTCCGACGTGAAAATGAGAATGTGGGAATGGGCTGAAGGGTTTTAAAACAGGGACTTGGGTAAAAAAAATTCAAAGTATTGGGTTTGTGTTTTGGGCGCCATTTTGTAATTGTTTCCTTTCATTTTTCATTTTTTTTTACAGCCAATTTCCAGCTCAATGTGTCACTCAATGTGTCAATAAATGTGGCCATGTAGCATTATTCATAAATGTGGGTTTTCCGTCTGTGAATTCACAGCATTCTAGGTAAGGAAGCTGGGCGTGAGATGTTGCTAGTGTATCTTGAATATAATTGCTCAATTCACATGGTTATTACTATATCCCTTGTTTGTGTGGCACTATTCTTTCTTTTACTTAAGCGAGTTGCACCTGCAAAGAGACATCTAAGTAACTTTTTTTGATCCATAATGCCATAAATCATAAAGCATGGCCAACGTGTCTTTAGTTCATAACCTTAGAATTACCGCAAAGACCTAAACCTCCAAAGATTACACTGCTTGGGTACTGTTTATTAGTGTGAAGGGTAGCGTATTTGCAAATAATTAACATATGAACAATTTAACATAATCTTTAATTGTTATTTTTAGCTTAAATTTTTAAACTGAAGCAAATAGGGTATAAGTCATAGTATTCATCACCTGTGGTACTATCCAAACTTTACTTCATTAGCCTCCAGATTAGGATGTGTCCACAGAAATGATCTGTTGTGGCATTGCAAAAGTCACAAGGTAGTTGAACTTGATTGGCTCTAACTGTCATCCATTACAGGAAATTTCTTGTGAATCTGGGTCGGAAGTTCAATTTTCCATGAAACCCATCAAAAACCAGCCTTAAATTCATTCAATTTAGTTCTGGGATTTTTTTGTTTACACAGAAATCTTTCAATTTAATATCAAGAACACCTGCAATGGATCTATTCCAGAACTCTAATGCGGTTCGAATGAGAAGCGTCCACGACAAGTACTTGATAGCTGAAGAAGACCAAGAATCCGTAACAATGATTGCTATCAATGGTTATGATTTGTGTTGTCTGTATGCATCAAAATTTGAAGATTTGTTGCATATTCCAGTCACTGTAACATTAAAATGTGGGTTTTCACTTTAAAAAAAGGCAAGGAAAAAAAAAAAAAAAAAAAGAGTATGTGTTCCATGGTAAACAATTTACGAAAATACACTTGTGCTATAAAAATGTAGATGATTTTTCCGTATAGGTTCCCACATCATTAGTGTAGTATGGAGTTTTTCTTAACTTGTTGACATTTCACCTTCCAGGAATGGGGTCACTTAATGTGTTCATGACATGGAACGGAATGACGTTTGGACTTCTCGTACCCAGTGGTTGTATATATGATAAACTAACTGAGATGATATCCAAAGAGATGAAGATCAATGAAAAATCTCAGGACTTGAAAATTGAGTACGATGCAGGTGGGAATGTGGCCCAATAAGGATATCAAATGACTACTCACTACTATTCTATTTGGAGCTTAAGAAAATGGAACCCCGTGTTGCGTATGCACTCCATGTTGAAATTTTGGATATGACAAACCATAATGCATCTAACTTAGAAAATCCCATGGACATTTCATGCTCAGCAGTCAGCCCTTATATGGGTATGTCAGAACCTACCAATGTACTCGTTAATGCATCTTGCATAGTACCAACTATGCATGAGTTTGTCACCACCATGGATATAATGGATCAGACACCTGAGGAATATGGCGTTGAACAGGAACAAGTTTCAGGTTCCAAGCCCAGTGTCGAACATGTTTCGAAAAATCAGATTTTCATGGACAAGAAGATGATGAAGAGGACTATCACGTTATACGCCATACGCAACAACTTCCAGTATAGGGTTCACAAATCTGATCAACGTGAATATGTTCTGAAGTGTCGATCAGACAATTGCAAATGGAAATTTAGAGCATTGAAAATGGAAAAAACAAATTCTTTCAAAGTTCGTTATATTCGTAATGTTCATAGTTGCGTAATGGACACAGTTATTAGAGATCAATGTCAGGCAAAAAGTTTGTTGATAGGTGAATTTATAAAACATAAATACACGTCCGCCAGAACGATATACACACATGTTGACATTATGCATGATATGTCATCAACATATGGGCTGACATTAAGATATGGCAAGGAGTGAAGAGCTCGGGAGCATGCGTTGGAGTCAATAATGGGGGATTCGGACATGTCTTAAAGTAAGCTGGCAATTTATTTGAGCGAACTTGAACAGACGAATATGGGGACAGAAACAAGTATCGAAATTGATGGCGAGGGACATTTCAAATATGCTTTTACGTCATTAGGTGCATCTATCAAAGGGTGGGAAAATTGCAAACCTATGGTCATTGTTGATGCTACATACTTGACTGGGAGATACAGGGGACACTATTCACTGCATCCACACAAGACGCGAATGATTCGATATTCATACTATCATTTGGTATTGGTGATTCGGAGAACAATGACTCTTGGATCTAGTTCCTTAGACGGTTCAAGGATGCTTATGGAGAGAGGGATAATTTGTGTTTTGTATCAGATTGTCATACAAGCATAGAACATGCTATTTGTGAGGTTTACCTAGGGTATCACATGGATTTTGTGCACATCATATATTGAGAAACTTAGGACAACCTATGGTAGTTGTGGAAGCAAGATAATAAAGACTTTCAATGCAGCAGCGAGAGCATACACGAAGCATGATTTTGAGTACCATATGAAACAACTAGACCAAATTAATAAGTCTATCAGGAAAGATCTGGTATTTTTACTACCTTATTTCATCTTTTACTTTATTAAACTTTCAATAATTTATGAATAGATGAAACCAATGTATAATTCTATTTCTTACACATGGTCTCGTGTTCTAGCAAGTGCAAATAGTCTCTACAAGGTATTTCTTGACTAGTTGCAAAGATAACAGAATGAATAACTTATCCCTATGACTTTTAGACACTGTTGTTTATATATTTATAATTCTATTTGCTTGCTATGTAAAAAACTTAGGGGCAATAACTAGCATTATCTTTACCGTCTTCAAACTAATAACATCCGCTAATGAATTTGTATTATCTATAATGTGAGTTGTAGGATGAAATTGGCTACCACACATGGTCAAGAGCACACATGCGAACTAACAGATTTTTAGCCATGACATCGAACATCGTCGAGTTAGTAAACTCAGTTATAGAACCGGTGAACTCAGTTACATCAAACATCGCCGAGTCGGTATCCATTGACTATTTATTCGAATGATTAAGGCACACAATACAATGTGGTTTTCAAAGGATAGAGGTAATGCACAAGGAACGTTCACACGACTCGCACCAAAACCGGAAGAATTGCTGAGAACGAATGCAAAGCATTTATTGAAACTGAAATTACATATAGGAATAATAATCCATATTTGTAGGTTGGTAATTTTTCATAGCGTTGTATATCCAACTAAGTTTTATCGTTATAACCCACATTCCTTGATTTATTAGTCAACATATATGATACATCAACGTAAGATGAATTATTATGTTCTGTGTATTGGTTAAATCTTATGTTTCGTCCTATGTACCGTGTATTGGTTATAAGTTACGTTTCGTGCATTGTTTTAAGTATTCGTCCAGGTTGTTGAACTTGATAATATAGGAACATTTAGATGCAACACTGGTTCACAAATTTTCCTTTTTATTATAGGTATCATTCTAAGGATATTGAAAGAGGAGATGTAGCCATTGCTAATAATATTCAGTCTGTTCCACCACCACCTTTGTCTATTCAGACAGCAATTTAAGCAAATGAGATATGAAAAGAAATATTTAGCATGCCACGCTATTGACTGGACAACACTACAAAAAAGGGCACTTGAGAAATAATAACAGTAATAAGAATAATTATCTGTTTTAAGTTTAGAAAAAAAAATAATAAATAAAAAGAGGGTGGCCCTAAATCAATTTTCCTTCACCAACGCCAGCTGCTTCAATTCATGGCTTTTTACATCAGTGGAGGAAAAGGAAAGGAAAACTAAAACTTTACAAAGGAAAAGGAGAAAAATCATCAATCATCACAAGACATAGAGGAAGGTGCTTTTCCATTTTCATGTAAGAGCTTACATCAACACTGGTTCACAAAATTTCCTTTTTATTATAGGTATCATTCTAAGGATATTGTTGCAAAGTTATGTAGTCACTATTGGATATTTGATATGGTGTAATTCTTGTATATTCATTTTTGGCGAACAATGATTGAGTTTCGATGCCTACAATATGTGTTACATGGTAGAATAGGACTTTTATTCCTTCAAGAATGCTTGTGATGTTTATGGTTATAAAGATGCTGGGAACTATTTGTTACATGTTCATTGTACATAATGCATTTTACATTTTCTGTCCATTGAGCTGCTAATTTGTTAGCGGTTGTTATGTATTACAAGTAATGTGTTGACTTTAATTGTTGACCAGTTATATGCAAGCGATACTGGTACAATTCCATAAAACATCACGGAATTTGTTCAGTGCGAGGGAAACCTGCTATGAAATACTAAGATAAACTAGTACTTATATATAATAATAGTTTTATGCAATAAAATATTTCTTGAAGAAACGACATTACCTGTGAGTGTGATCTGAATAAAATCATCAAAAATATACTGTGTTAGTTCGGGAAGGAAATACTTGAAAAAATTTAAATAACAAACTGAAATTTATTGAGTTATTGTGATGTGTTAGAAAGAACATTACCACCACAGCTGTATCAGGAATAACTTCGATAAAGCTCCCTTCTTGCTGGTTAGAAGTATTGATTAACTGGTTTGACACCTATATTGTATTATCAACAACACACATTATAGGTGGCAATATACAACTTGACTGTGACATATCATGACACGATATAACATTAACTAACATGTTACGATCAATTAGATGCCAACATTTGAAGTAAGTTAAAGAAAATAGTGGCGTATAGGTCGCATATAGGCATTGCTGACATACGTACCTCATTAGGGAATAGTTCCTGAACAAGGATGTCTTTGCCAAATTCATCACTCACATGATGTGTCTCGTCACCATCAACCTTAGAAAAAATAGTTTTTGTGTGCCAGCCATATTAAAATTAACATGTAGAATACAAATTCATATTCTAAGTAGGACGATATGTGAAACCCAAAACGCAATTCAAATAACACAATGCAAGAAAATGGGGTAGTAATGTCTGCGATACCTAATATGCAGATTTCAATTTCAATGACGTAGCACTCTTTATTATCTCATCCACTTCAATAAGATCCTCCTCGGTGTATTTGTTCCTTAATAACAGCAGTTAGGCAATGGATGTGGCGGGATTGCATTCATCATGGCGTAAATCGCTCTGATTTTGTGATGACTATTTAAGTTCCTTGCAAACCATTCTATCAATGGTCGGGGTATTTGATTTCTCCCCAAAATCGGCATGCTACGGAAAAATATATTGGTGGTTGAGCATTACCTTAATGTGACGATATTTGATATACTAATATGTAAAAATCTAACTTATTATTAGTTGTCCGTGCTTCATTTGAATGATCGTCAATATGATCAAGTTCGTCTTTATCATGCAATTGATGCTTCTTCGCCCTTACAAATATTGTCAGAGTGACGTGTAGTTTGTTTCCACATCTTGTTCAATACGATTAACCTCCACCTTTAGCACATTTTAGGAATCCATAATCTGAGCTTGTGATGCTTGAATCTCGAGCATTTCATTCATGAGATGCTCCAGGACTGGAATTATGGGTGGCTGCAAGTAATGTGTTCATGAATTTTGTTAATTACATTAAGAGTGTGTATGTAGATAAAAAAATAAATTGATAGGACTTTGAATATGGTCAACAAACCTCTCTCAATCCTGATGTGCCTTAAGCCGCCTGGTGCATGCATGGCATGAACTATGGATTAGAAGAGCTTGCATGATTGTGGTCTTTTGGTTGGTGAACTGGATCATTCACAAGGTCAGCCTCGGCAGCAAGTGTTGATGGCATTGTAATGCGCTCCCTTTGTGGTAACCCTTGGTAATAAGCAGCCCTTTGTTCCTCGTTGGTAGGTTGGAACTTCACAACTTCAACCAGGGAAAAAATAGTATTTATAGTGTATCTATCTCATATATAACTGTGCATTTATAAAAGCATCTGACATGCATGCATATTAATATATTTACTACCTCATCCACTTCAAATAGAATCTTATCAAGGTATGCTGCAAATACACGAGAATCATCAGTGCTCCAATTTAGAATGCGAGGGGACTTATGGCCGACTCTTGTATAAACTTTCCCAGTCAAAGATGGAATGGACTCATATATCCATATGTGAAAGGCTAGAGGAAAACCATGTAGTCTGTATGACAATATTCCTTTGGGATCCTCAAGCTTTGGGTTCGTTTTGGCAAGTGCAAGCTTCAAGTACATGTATGTAATTTGGAACAATTCCTTTCCCCGCGAAAATGTATGGGTATGGTGATTTGTAGTTCCGAAAATATTCATGTGGCACAACATTTGCACTTGTGGTAGTGTACGGGAAGCTTGAAATCAGGTATAGAGCACCAAGCCTGACAACGTCTTCGTCTGAAGTTGCGGCTGTCAAGTTGTTGAATGTATTTTCAACATCTTTCATGTACACATTCTTTTTGTGTTTGAAGAGCAAATGTTTGATTCGGCTATGACCAATTTTGAACACATTGGTGTTATCATCACCTTGGCATGCCAACCCGCTAGCGAGTGCGAACTCCTCAACAGAAAACATCAGATGTTTACCGGCAACTTTAAACCACATCTCGACATGAGTGGATTGTCGCACTTCCATCAATAAAAACTTGTGAATAACTTGATGTCGTAGGCGCATCTCTCTCATTTCGAAGAATTGCCCGAAGCATGTTCGTTTGAATAGTTCCTTCTGAGTTGCATTCATTTTGTTGTTCAGCTTTGAAATAACATTCTTCTTAAATAACATGTTAATGCTTTCACCAAATCTGTTCTCCTTTGGAATGTAAAATTCTGATAACTGCGACAAGTAATAGGTTATATGATGTAAAGAAATTCAACATATCAAAATCATACAAAAAAAAAAAATAACTGCGACAAGTAATAGGTTATATGATGTAAAGAAATTAAAAAAAAAAAAAAAAAAAAAAAAAAAAAAAAAAAATGTGTATGATGTGTTTGTGTGGAAGCAGGGATTGGTCAACAAATTGTAACGTATAGTATCATGATATTAACACGAATAATTAAGTCGATCATCAATTGCATAGTATAAAGCAAAATAAAAAAACAACGCATTATGTGCAGTCAACCATTTGACAGAAATCATACTGAGTGCAAACAACTAGTTGTCAGAAATCTTGCAAAAATATATAAAAAAATGTAATTTCAATTGTGATTTACCATGCAACTTGTATTGATATGTGTACATTTCAAATTCTTTTCAAAAAATATGCATACTTATATATTATAAACACTGTGATTTACCATTCCAAATTTTTGACACACTAAAATTATAATATTCAAATTTATTCAAATTATAACCATGAGAATTGAGCAATTATACTCAAGATGCACTAGCACCATCTGACGCCCAGCTTCCTTACCTAGAATGCCCGTGAATTCACAGACGGAAAATCCACATTTCAATGTTGCAGTGACTGGAATCTACAACAATTATACTTGCCTGATTAGAATATTTGTGATGTCTCAAGAGTTTAAGAGGCTTACCATCTAGATGTTATCTAAGTGTACCATTTGGCACATACTCTGTAATAATCAGCCGTTCATCTCCTTGATCAACATAACAAGTAGCTTGACTAGACTTCAATGACCAATTTTAGCCAGAAGTTCAACTTCACTCTTAAATTTAGTCCGCAGCCCATCATAGTGTTCCTTTGTTTTTTCTCCCAATAATTAAAAACCACTTACAGAATTAAATGTTGGAAAAGGCCAACTAAGAAACTTTCCTAATTCATCTCTTTAAAAGAAACTTCTCTACCCCAGTTTCACTTCGATTTTATTCGCAATTACACTTTATAATTTCATTTTATCTTTAGTTTTGACACACCTCCACTTCCTTTAACTTGGGTGGTGACTTCCAAATTTTTGACACCCTAAAATTATAATATTCAAATTTATTAAAATAATTAGAACTATAACATTTCCAATAATAAGTCATTTGAGGTATATTACAGTAACATGCCTGGCATTTACGAAGAGGCACAATTTTTTCTTCGTTGAGCTCGATTCAATAGCTACAGGCTCGGCCTGCGTCTTGTACCCGTTGTCTATAGGAGTCTTCTCGGAGCTCAACTCGGTATTTATAGTCTCCAAATGCCTTTTGAAACTTTTTTTGATGTGAGATTTCATAGCATCAGCTGTAATTTTTGTCCAGGCTTCGAGCATCATTGAGTCCATCCACCCCGTTCTTTGAGTCTGACAGTAGGGTTATTGAACTTGCAATGCGTCTCGAGGGAGATTGCGAAATATATCCAGAACCTAGTGTTGGTGTTCGACTATATGTAATATCGTTACCCATTGATAAATGACGAGGTGTGTTTGTTGCAAATGGGGATTCCTCACTACTGTTCTTCTTCTAGTTGGAACCCAGCGTCGAACGAGAATTTGGTGGTGTCATCTTCGATCTCTAGTTTCACCAAGCTGACTAACCGAAGCAGATATATTTGATTCGGAAGTTTGAATGATGGATGTATCTTTCTATGATAGGGTTTATATAGCTTGGAAGAAATCCCAAAATGCCGAGATTCCAGTTTGCATAAATGATTTTCGGGACAAATACTAACATATAAATGCATATAGAGATACGATTTGTATGGTTCCCGAAGAGAAAAGAAGATTTTGGGGTTTTGATTCTTGAACATTTTTGTTCAAGTGCTAAAATAGAATGATGGTAGAAAGGAGATTAACGGGCTTAATTAGAGGACATTTTTACGTTGCACGTTTGAGTGCCTAATTTCAGCGTGTGATTGCATTAATTGTGGGATTGTGGGTATATATATATATTTTTTTATTTCAATTATATTCCACTAATTGTAGTATATTTGATTAAAAATTGTGATAATGTAAAAAAAGAATATTTATATATTTTAAGGTACGGTGTGAAATTTCCACTAAAGGTATTTTAGGCTTGCTATTCTGTGTGGGCTACTTTTGATTGTGTTAATATATTTCTGGATTCAAAGCCTTTTGGACATGTTATTTTGGGCTTGCTTATTCTATGTGTTTTATTTGGGGCTACTTATTTGTTGAACTTGCAATATTTTAGGCTGTTTTATTTAGAATTCTAGGAGCTTAGGGACCTGGGCTGCATTATTATCATAATTTGCTTATTATTGAATTTTTTTTTTTGGAGACCACATAATTCTAGATATTTTTCTCTAAATTTCGGCTTTAAATCAAAAGTCAATGGGTATGGATGGCGAGGAAGATGTGGGAAGTTGTCTTAAGAAGCGTGTGGATACTAAAGGGATTTTCTTGGTAGTTGTGATTTCGGTTGATTGGATAATGAGCTAGAGTTTTGGATTCTTGGAGGGTCAACCTCGGTTGGTTTTAGATTCTCAGAGGAGGATCATCTTTAAGTTTTTTTGGTATAGGCTGTTTGGTGGAATTCTTTCAACTGCCGCATCTTGGTCAATGATATATTGCTGAATTTTCTACCGGTGCATTGGTCGTTAGAGCTTTTTTCGTAACATGAATTATGTGATCGAATGACTTCTCTGATAGATAGAGCTCACTGTGTGTGTCGGCACACTTCGTGAATTTCTTTTGAAAATCTTTCTTGGGGTGTGAGCTCTCTTAAATGTCTTTGGAGTGTTCTTGGAGTGGCTTTGACATAGTTCTTAAGAATTTCTACACTATTTGCTGCTCTTGATATCTTGTTATCACTAATTTTTATAGATCATAGCTATAATTTGGATTTCTTCTTCATGGGCATGAGCATTGTCACCGTCGTCAGTTTGTGATTGCAAATTGACGCTTTTACCAGCATCAATTTGAGGGATGATGTTAATAAGATTAAATAAGATTAGGAGATCGTTGAAAATTACTACTATATTATTATTATAATTGTACCAAATATGGATAGATTGATTTTACCATATTTTAGTCATATATAATGAGAGAACTTCTCATATCGAAAGACATCGAGTCTTATTAAGTATCATTGAGTATATTTGAACAGTAAATAAACTGAGAATTAGCTAGGATTGCTAACTCCTTTGCATGGGATAATTACTAAACTAAACTAAGACATATTTTTATATAGATAAATAAATTGATTGCACTGCATGTAATTTGGATTCTCATTCTAATGTGCGCTAAAATTAATAGAAACGGAGGAGATATACTCCTAACTATAGCTATTTATGAGTACTGGGATTGTTTTACCATAACTTAAAATTTAAAAATAATCTAAATCTCAATTTAAAAAAGAAAAATGAAATTCATTTACACTAAACAAAACAAAACATTAAAAGAACTTTCTTATTTATAGTTCACATAATTTAAGTAAATTTATAACATATAAAAATATTCACATCATTCTTATAAGTAGATCACGTAATCTTCAAATATGTAAACCATATAAAATATTCACACCTATACAAATTATTGGAACACATAATATTTCAAGTAAAAACCCAAAAAAAATGCACAAAATGGAGAATACAAAAAACTAAACAGTGTATTAGAAAATAAAATACATTTAACAAAATCCTTTAAGATAAGCAAACATTAATTCTTACATAAACTAAAAGAAACTAATATAGAAAAGAGTTTTGACACGATATTGACAAAAATACAAAATTGGGAGAACAATAATAATTTTGAGGCATACTAATTAAAAAATTCAAATGCAAGAAGAATAATGGAATTTCATCGACAAGTAAATTAGAAGAAAAGAAAATAAACTTAAGGGGTACATAATTTGCTTAATGAGAATTTGGAATCCTGATTTTTAGATTCCACACAGAAGACAAAAAAGGAGAACCAAATACAAAATGACATTACAAAAAAGAACATACCTTGAGGATGAATAACTAAAAGCATCAAATTATCAAATATTGAATTGAATTGACAATATGCAAGCATATAAAAAAAAATACTAAATTCTACCACTTCTATAAAAAACTTGCATACTTAAATCTATAAAATTGAATTTTTATCCTTTCCACTTTATTGCAAATGGCAACTTTAAAATACATTATAAAATTTATACTCGTAACCAAATTCTTATTTGATTTGTTTGAATATAAATATACCAAATCAAATTAAAAAATAAAGTATGTATACATATGAATATTAGAATGCCAATATTGATGCATAATTTATATTCGTTGAATATATCCAAATAAAGAAATATAAAAAGTTACGCCTCGTTGCATTTGTCGAAAGTATTAGCACCTTTAGCATCTTGCTTTGATTTGCCAAAAATCCAAGTAAACCTATTTGATTCAATTCGATCTAACTAGATTCTGTATCATTGGAGACTTGCACATCTCTTCCAATAATCATCCTATTAGAGCCAAAAGGAGATGATGATAAAAAATCATAAAAATAATTTGTAAGAACTTAAAATTTAAAAGCTAGTTCTAAACACACAAAAAAGAAAAAAAAAAAAAAAAGAAAAGCATTTTGCAACGTTCAAAAAATGTTGCCAAAGGTCTTTTGCAAAGTTCGGACGTATATTGCAAATCTCAATATTACCTTAGAGTAAAAGGATGCAGCAAAGTTTTTTGAATGTTCCAAATAATATTTTTGCAGCGTTTTTTTGAATGTCTCGAATAATCTTTATGCAACATTTTTTGGGTGTTGTGAATAACCTTTTTACAATGTTTTTTGAGCGTTTTGACTTTCAAATAATCTTTTTGCAATGTTTTTTTTACGTATTGAGAATAACCTTTTGGCAATATTTTTTCAGTGTTTCCTTTAACCTTTTGGCAACATTTTTAAAATGTTGCAAACAATTACAACACTTTTTAAGTGTCGCAGATAACCTTTTCG